CTGACACTTTATCAAACTTAGTTTTTAATCATGCATTCTATCTCAACAGATGTCATTTGATCTAAATCATAAGCAACGGAATAATGCAAGCCTGGACAGATACGCCCAATTTGTAGCCTTTGGGCTTACGTGGATCGGGCAGATGCATCTCGATGACTGCCGTCGAGCCGGCGAGTCCATTTGGATCTGACCTCCGAGCAATCTCGCTGACGTCATTCTCTGATGTCACGTACACTCTGTGTTGGTGTCCAGCTGACAAGCCAAGAAGAGTCACTCTGAAAAGGAGGAAAGTATAAGGGGGACCAAAGTCATTATCCCATAAATTCTGTATTGTCATGACATTTAGGTATGCATGTGTACAAAATAGGAGCTATGCGTGTATTCTCTCTTAGAATGCACTAATTATTTAACTGATGTTACCCGCTTGTTGCATATAATGATTTGTACTTCCCATCTGCTCATCTTCCAACAAACATATACTAATATGAGATGTATTCACCCAATTTTGTTTAAGCTGATGAAGGACTGGGAGAAGAATAATTTTCCCATAATGATATGAGTTGAGCTGACGTTGAAATGTATTCAACTTATATTGTTGATGTGCTGATGGACTGCAGTCCATCTTGGATGAGAATACCTTTGCGGAAACAAGGGTATGTGAATTTCAATGGAAATGCTAGGACTACTAATATCATTATGTTCTATATCCCTTTTACAAAATATGGTGAATATATCTAATATATAACTACTTTATGCACTTATTGTACACATGTGTAAGTAAGGGTTCGTAACCACCTGTGATAACAAAAATAAGATAAGATGAACAACTGGCTTTTGATGAGTTTCTTAAGACTTTTACAAGAATGAGTTGCATATGATGGATGAAAGGTCAGCACGTTTTACCCGAAACAAGGGAGGATGTCTCGTGAACTGCGTCAACATGAACGTCATATTAAAGCCAAATGGCTGCAGAACAACGGGATTCGGCCTTATTCTTCCAATGAGATCGACCGGCAAATCTCTTCACCATCAACTTTTATACGAAATCAAAGTCCCCCCCCCC